AAGTTAATTGGACAATTGATAAGCCTAGTAATATTAAAGTTGTTGATATTACAGAAAACAAAACAACTCCATTAGGACGAGTTAAAAATGTATCTGTTCTTTTGGATACCAAATTAACTTATATTTATATGATAGTAACCGAGTCTAAAGAATATAATATAGTACTTGGCAATGAATATTTGAATAAAGTCCAAGCTACTATTGATTACTATGGTAAATATATGAGTATTGGAATAACAGATCAAATAGAGTATATTCCAATATTTTGTAAACAATGAATAGAAGATCCTAATACCATATATCTGATTAATTTCAAAGATTATCACTCTAATCAGGAATTAGAGTTAGAACTAAAAGATGATAATGAGCCCACTGCACCAATATATACAACTATTCAAGTTAGGAACACCTTTGTCCAATTTGAGGAATAATCAATAGCAAATGTAAAAATAGAAAATGCTAATAATCCTTTAAACCTTTCTTCACCAGATATTTTTAAGTTAATACAACCAGAAATTATTGAAATAAAAGATAAAAAGAAAGAGGATCAAAAAGTATCTATACCAGTTAGTGAAAACAAATCAATCTTCATTGGCCATACCTTGAACAATGACCAAAAACAAATTATAACCCAACTACTACATGACAATGCTGATATTTTTGCAACTGAATTTGTGGAACTAAAAAAAACTAATGTCATATACCATACTATCAATACTGGTGAATCTTATCCAATTAAACAAAGAGTCTATAGAGTCTCACCAGTCGAACAAAAACATATTGAAAAAGAAATTGCTAAAATGGAAAAAGATAGTATCATTTGAAAATCTAAAAGCCCTTGGAGCTCTCCTGTCATTTTGATTAAAAAGAAAAATAGCAAGTTTAGATTTTGTGTAGATTTTAGAAAATTAAACAATATAACAAAGAAGGATATCTATCCCCTACCAAGGATTGATGACATGTTGGATAATCTTGGTAATGCTCAATGGTTTACATCTTTAGACTTGACTTCTGGATATTGGCAAGTAGAAGTCAAAGAAGAAGACAAAAAAAAGACTGCATTTATTACTAAATATAGTCTTTATAAATTTAATGTTATGTTTTTTGGATTGTGCAATGCACCATCTACATTTCAAAGGCTTATAGATATAGTGTTATGGCCTGTTCTATGGAAAAAAGCCATGGTATATATTGATGATATTAATATATACTCTATATCATTTGAGCAACATATACTGGATATACAAGAAGTATTCGAATTAATTTGACAAGCCAATCTTCAAATTAACCCAGAAAAATATCACTTCTGCACAAATAAAATGCAATTTCTTGGACATGTAGTTGGTGTCAATAAAATCAAACCAGACCCCCAAAAGGTTGATTAACTAAACAATCTCCCATCTCCTAAAATCATTACTCAACTTAGAGCCTTTCTAGGCTTAGCATCTTACTATAGATGATTTATAGAAGGATTTTCTACTAAGGCCAAACCTTTGTTAAAATTATTGAAAAAGAATAAACCTTTTATTTGGAAAAAACCTCAAGATGAGATTTTTAACTGGTTAAAATATTGTTTAACACATACCTCTATATTACAATATTCTGATTATAATGAATCTTTTATTCTCTTTACTAATGCTTTTTACCAAGAACTAGGTGCAGTCCTATCACAAATTAAAAATAATCGAGAGTATGCAATTGCTTACACCAGCCATACTTTAACTCTTGCAGAAACCAACTATAGCACTATTGAACTTGAATGTTTAGCAGCTGTTTGGGCTATAAAATATTTTAGACATTATATTTTTGGAATGAGATTTACTCTAATTACTAATCACAAGGCACTACAATAGTTATTAAATTCTTATACTATTAATAACAACAAACAGATAACTCGATAGAGAATGACTCTCCAAGAATATTAGTTTGATATTAAATATCAAGCTGGTAGCCAGAACAAAAATGCTGATTTTTTATCTTGCTTAACTGAATATTTAAAAGATAATGGATAACAAATTATATAATTAGTTATATCAATACCTCTTCTCTCTACAATTTGACTTGATATCTCTAATATGGAAAAATCTCAAATCCAAAAAGAAGCAAAACATTATTTCATAAAAAACAGCAAATTATATAAAAGAAATCAAAACAAGCATCAACAAGTAATCAAATCTATTCAGAAACACCTTATTTTATACACTCTATATGATTAACAAGAAGTACATTTGGGTATATTATCTACCTATAACAAAATAAAAGAAAGATATTATTGGCCAACTATATACAATGATATCAAAAATTATATACAAATGTGTAATATTTGCTAATATAGAGAATATGAAATTTGACAACAAGATTTAACCTCTCTAGAAGTTAAATATCTATTCCATAGAGTTGAAATTGATATTAAAGGACCTTTATCTCCAACCAAGCAAGGCAATTATTATATTATTATTGCCATAGATTATTTGACCAAATGGCCAGAAGCAAGAGCTATAACTAATGTAAAAGCTACAACTGTTGCTAAATTTATATATGAAAATATTATTTGTTAACATGGAATACCTACAATATTACTATCTGACCAAGAAACAAATTTTATGAGTGATATTGTTAAAAAATTATGCAATAACTTTCAAATAAAACATCATAAATCATCTGCCTACTGACCACAAACCAATAGGATGATTGAACGATTTAACTGAACTATTGGTGAAGCTTTAGCAAAAATAACAAGCTATAAATACAAGGAATGGAATGAAATTCTTCCATCTATATTATTAGCATATTGTACTATGAAGCATGGTACAACTAAATTCACACCATTCTCTCTGATCTATGGTCATGATGCAAAATTACCAATAGAAACAATTATAGAGATCTATTATGATGAAAATGAATCATTTCAAAAAGCTCTCTTAAAAAGATCTTTTGAAATAGAAGATGTATTATTAAAACAACAAGAAGAAGCTTTAAAAAATATTAAAGTGCACAAAAAGCTCAAAAGGAATACCATGACAAAAATATTAAAATCGACAAATTAAAAGTTGGTGACAAAGTCCTAGTTGCCAAATCATTTCTTAAAAATGTTTTCTCTGCCGAATTAGAAGAACAATTTATGGGCACTTATATAATCCATGATATATTAGATCTTGGAGTCTATAAACTACGAATATTAGATAACAAAAAAGTTAAAGATCTAGTTCATAGTGATTATTTAAAATTGTACCATTAAAAAAAAATTAAAAATCTACCTGTACCTCAAATTATTATCATACAAAGTAACAGTCTACAAGCAAAGATCGTATAACCTCAACTTTTATAAATACACCCTTTGTTCTAGCATTTTCTTAAAAATTCTTAAATATATAAAAAAAAAAAAAAAAAAAAAAACCTTTAATAATTAGTTTAGAAATTTTATTTTAGTTTTATATATATAGTGCTTTCTTATATTTTTATTATTTATTATTCAAAAACAATGCAAGAATTAAATGAATCTTTTCTTAACCAATTCTCTACCAAAGTATTGCAAGGGTTGCAACAATTTTTAAAAGAACAGAAACAACAAATACATAACGAACGAACCTTAGAAATTGATTAAAAAACTATTATGATGATCAATAATGATAAAACCAAAATTACAATACCCATCAACAAAATGCTTCAAGATACTCATAATGATTCTCCGATATATGAGTTTTTATTTAAAGAATTTATTAATCATAAAGATTAGAAAATGCTTCATCACACAAATACACCAAATCTTGATGAAGTTAATAATTATAATTGGACCAATTTAAGTCCCAATAATGATAATGCAAAATAGGATAAAGAAGTAAACAATGAAGAACTTTCTGTTAACGAGTATAGAGAAGGAAGGTCTATTGGGAAAGAGTTTTATGATGAAGATTCTCCACTCACCAAAATAATGAGAAATGTAAATCGAAGCCCTATGAAAGAAAATATATCTGTCTCTCCTTTTACTGGAAATGATAAACTGACAATTTTCAAAGAAAATTAAAAAAAACAATAATGAACGAATTTCTCGATTAGAAATAGTATATTATCTGGAAAAGCTATTCACTAATAATAGCAATAATAACCAATTGAAAAGAA